AACGCGCCGCCCGCGCGGTGGCAGCGCAAGGCCAAGGAGAGCGGGGGGCCCGGGCCCAGCCCCGCCGCCGGTGTGTCGCCCATGAAGCCGGCCAATCGCTCCTACAGCTCCAGCAAGACACCGTCCAGGACACCCGGTGAGCAGCCGCGACCAGCGGCATGCGTTAGGGTGGGGGAGAGCGTTGCCCGGGCTGCTTGCCTGTATGTGTGGGGCTCTGGGCTCTGTGCCAGGCTGCCCTAGCCAGCCTGCTGGGCAGGCAGGAGGAGGTGGGCTGCACTGCCTGGCTCCTGAGTCACCCATCGTCTCCTCCCCAGCATGAGGTGGACAGAGCTCTGGGCACTGGGGCTGGGTGAACTGCTGACACCCTGGCTGAGCCTTGCTGGCACAGCTGTGTGCTGGGGCAATGGTGGGTGGGATTGTCTGCTGACAGCTTTACATGCTGTAACAGTATCTTTGCATCCTCCCCTTACCTGTGAACTCTGGAGTTGTTGCACTAGACCCAAGGAACTGTCTTCTGGCAGCCCCCAAACAGAGTTTAGTGCCATTATGCAGGGGGGCCAGAAATACAAATTAGTTGTGACTGGATGGCATGAACTCTGAGTCCTGCTTGTCTGGTAGGTGGGATGTGGGAGAGTGCTGTCTCTTGAAAGCTCAAATAGACTGTTCAATAGCTGTAAAACAATATTTATGCATGTGAATGCAGGTAAATCTGGATCCAAAATCCAGAGCACCCCAACAAAGGCTGGGGGGGACCGCTACATTCCCAACCGCAGCACTATGCAGATGGAGATGGCCAATTTCCTCCTAACCAAAGAGAATGACCCTGCTGAGGAGTCCCCCACCAAGAAGGTGAGCATGCTGCTAAGTTACACTTACTACAGTGATTGCTAACAAACACCTAATCCTTCTTGGCCTCTTAACAGAGAAGCAAAGTTTAAGTTCTATCAAGTGGGTGCATGGGGCTGGCAGACCCAGCCATCACTGCTTCCAGCTCTGGGCTTCAGGAGCCTGGGGTGAGGTGGAAGCTGTAGAGCCTGCCAGTGGAACAGGTGCACGCCTGCTACACTGGAGCCTGAGTGTAGCTGCTCTGTAGGGATGTTTCCCTAGGCACAGGGAAGAGTGCAGAGCCTTACACCCCTGCTTCCACTCTAGTCTGTGCTGCTTCTGGTAACAAAATTCAACTTTGGGCTAATGAGGCTTTAAAGTATAGCCAGCTACAGAGACATAAAGCTGTACAGTGAAACTGCTGGTGGTAGCTATTTTAGGACAATGTCTACGTGGGGAGCTGTTCTGGAATGTGTACACTGTTCTGAAATCTGTTTATGAAGTGTTTGGTCCCTTGTCGCTGTGGCTTTCCCCACTGGCAATAAAACTGAATTTGCCAGTCTTCTGTATTAAAATGTGAGCAGGACAGTGTGCCAATGTCTGAGGCAGTTTGAGCTGCCTGTCTGTAGCTGACTCCCACAACAGAGCTGTACACCTCCTGACTCCAGGAGAAGGGGGCTTAGGTGTATGCTCTGCCACCTGTAGCTTTAAGTGCAGCATGGGCTCTGTGTTTCAAACGCATCTTTCCAAGGGTGGTTTGTCTCTGTAGGAGCAACATAAAGCCTGGGCAGTGAATCTGAATGGCTTTGATATAGAAGAGGCAAAGATCCTCCGCCTCAGCGGAAAGCCACAGAATGCTCCGGAAGGTATGATACAGGGGCTGTGTGAGTTGACTCAGCTGGAGAGATCTGGGCAGGGGAAGGGCAACACAGAGGCCCTGTGTGCAGACACAGGAGAGATCAACTGGCTTCTTCTCAAGCTCCTGTGCATGCTGGAGTCTCCCTCCTTAGGTTTCCTGAGGTTGAGGGGCTGCATAAGAGCTACAGTGAATTTATTTATGAAAGTTGAAGCGGCTGCCAGTTGCTCACTTGTACTGCAGGTGGCAAACCTTCCTGAGGTCTGCAAAAGCTTCAAACTCTGCTGTGCATTTTGTAGCTGAACTGTCACTAAACATAATGGGATACAGAAAACCAAGTGCTTGTCAGCTAAACTTGTTCCTGTGAATTGGGGAATTGGAGCTCATCCTGGTTCAGCATTTTGTACTGCCAGTGATGTTAGGACATGGTGCTCTTCTGAGCCTATCTCTTCGCTCGGGACTTCATTTTCATGGGAAGGGATTTCTAGTTGGGTGAGCAGTGCAGAAACACTAGCTCAAGCTAAAAAAAACTGTTCTGCACACAGGCTATCAGAATAACCTGAAAGTGCTCTACAGTCAGAAAATGACACCTGGATCCAGCAGGAAGAATAGCAGATACATTCCCTCAATGCCAGACCGGATCCTGGATGCACCGGAGATCCGCAATGACTATTGTAAGTAGGCTGCAGTGTTGAGTGCTGGGCATTGAGATGATTGATTTGGCACTGGAGTGCAGTTCCTACAATGGTGTGATCCGAGGAACTGGAGCTCTAACTTGGCTGTGTCAGTATCTTGCACACCCAGGCTGGCAGGGACCGCTTCTGGAGTGTCCCCATGTAGCCTTACATGGACAGTGGTCCCAAGTGCTGTGTGTGTGACTTGGATCAGGGCTGCCTGACCCCACTGCTGGCTGTGGTGACACCCAGAAGGCTGCCCCTTACCTGTGTGGGCATGTACATGCACACCCCCTGGTGCAGGTGGAAGATCTGGCATTAGCACTGGTCTCCAGGTAAGTGTAACATGACCTGCATTGCTCTTCCAAACTGTAGATTTGAATCTCATTGACTGGAGCTCTCAGAACTTCCTGGCAGTGGCTCTGGACAACTCTGTCTATCTGTGGAATCACACCTCTGGGGATATTATCCAACTGCTGCAGATGGAGCATCCAGATGATTATGTTTCCTCTGTGTCATGGATTAAAGAAGGAAACTACCTTGCTGTTGGCACAAGCAATGCTGAGGTCCAGGTGAGTGCAGGAGTAAAACTAGAGGTGTTGGCTAGGGATCACTGTGTGCCCTTGGGACAAAGGCTTGGCTAGCACAAGAAGGATGCAAAGCACTCCGACTTGTCTTGACTGGTGTAGGGTAGAAATGTCCATGTCCAGCCATGGCCAGTGATCAACTGCAGTAGCAGTTGGGTTTTGTGGTTTCTGACACCTGGAGTTACCTTTTCTGCAGGCATGAGATACAGATTGGTCTCTTGCTCCCACACTGACAAGGCTGAATGCCAGGGCCTGTGCAGTGAGGTTCCTAGGGCAAAGCAACAGGGCTGGATTTCCTCATCCTCTGGAGAACTTACTGCTCTGCCTCTCTAGCTATGGGACGTACACCAGCAGAAACGTCTCCGAAATATGACCAGCCATTCTTCCCGTGTGGGGTCCCTCAGCTGGAACAGCTACATCCTCTCCAGGTAAGGCAGTGGGTGGGGGTGAAGGACAGTGTCTAGCTGTTGCAGATTCCTATCCTAGATCTAGCAGTGGTGCAGGTTAGGGTTGACTTAAGGGGAGTTTCTGTCCTGGCTTGGGATTCTTATTCAGCCTGTTCTATTGGGAGAAGGCCTCTCTTCTCTCTTGTCCTTTGTACTGAAGTTGTAAACAGCTTATGTGGCTGCTTTGCTCACACCAACAGGCCAGCGATGCTGGTAACACTGGTTGAAACCCAGTGGTGGGTATGGCAGTCTTCCAACAGCACAAAAATGGATTTTGGTGAAAATATGTGCCAGCCTGACCCTGCAAGCCTTCTCTCTGCAGCGGGGCACGGACTGGCCACATCCACCACCATGATGTCAGAGTGGCTGAGCATCATGTGGCCACACTTGCTGGCCACACACAGGAGGTGTGTGGACTCAAGTGGTCTCTAGATGGCCGCTACCTGGCTAGTGGTGGCAATGACAACCTGGTGAACATCTGGCCATGCACCCAGGGAGACAGTGGAGACTTTGCTCCTGTACAGACCTTCACTCAGCACCAGGGTGCTGTCAAGGTGAGTACAGAACTGCTGTGGATGAGGCATGGGCCTGTGCCTGTGCAAGGCAGACATGTGGCACTGGCTGTGCACAGGTTGCATCTTGTGTGTCTTAGAATTAACCCTTCTCTCTTAGGCTGTGGCATGGTGTCCATGGCAGTCCAATGTTCTAGCCACTGGAGGTGGGACTAGCGACAGACATATCCGCATCTGGAATGTGTGTTCTGGCACTTGCCTCAGTGCTGTTGATGCCCATTCCCAGGTGAGATGTGAACATCAGCTTGGTGACAAACACCTTCTGGCAGGACACCTACATGGCTGCTGGGTCCTGAGGCCCAGAGGTGTGGGCAAGGAGGGGACCATGCTCCTCTCTAGGTGGTGAGCATCAGCACAAGCAGCTTGTCTTACCTGTATTACTCCCTCTTCCCAGGTCTGCTCTATCCTGTGGTCAACAAACTACAAGGAGTTCATTTCGGGCCATGGCTTTGCACAGAATCAGCTGGTAGTATGGAAGTATCCAACGATGGCCAAGGTTGCTGAGCTGCGAGGTAGGCTGGGCCTTTTGCCTGGGGAAGGGTGGGCTGCTGGAGGCTGAAGGCAGATGTCATCCTTAGTTTGAGCAGGCTGGTGGTCTATCCTGGAGCATCACTGATGCAGAGTGGTGTCCCAGGGGCACGTGCTAGAGGGAGGCACTCCTGTGGGCTGCTGAAGACAGACCTTTCCTTCAAATGTGTTGCCTAGGGTGTGAATTCACACTGCAGCAGCGTGGTTTGGGGACAGCTCTGCAAGCTGGTGGGGCTCACAGGAGCAGACTTTGATCCCTCTGGTTATACCAGAGGGACCAGGGCAGGTGGTGATCAGCCCAGCCCTGACTGCACACTGCTGCCTCTTCCTCCTCAGGTCACACAGCCAGAGTCTTGAACCTGACCATGAGCCCCGATGGTGCAACAGTGGCCTCGGCAGCTGCTGATGAAACACTGCGTCTCTGGCACTGTTTTGAGATGGACCCCATAAGGAAGAAGGAGAAAGAGAAGGCAAACAGTGCCAAAAGCAGCATCATTCACCAGGGCATCCGTTGAGTACACAGGGTTGGGGGGGGGGAATCTAGCTTTACACACTGTACAGTATTTTAAATGTTAATAAACTGCTTTAATTTGACTTTTTTTTATGGGGTCTGATTGAAGAAAAGTCCAGGGCTCACAGACCCAAGCCCTTCTTCCCTGAGATTTGGGATCTGGGCAAGTGGTGGAGCTCTTGTTCTTTAGGGCTAGTTTGCAGTGCAGCTCCATTGGGGGGGCTGTGGCTGGCTTGTACCCCCCAGGGGGAAGCTGTAGTACTGAAAGACCCTAGGTATGGGCCTTCTACTTGTAGCAGAAAGGAAAGGAAGCTGATGTGTAGCCTGTGGCTGGAGAAGTCCCCACTCAGCCCCTCCTAGCAAAGCTCTACCCAGCATTCTTTTGTACATCTTAACTTTCTCAAAGCAGAATCATGGAGCAGCCTGGCCTGTGCCTCAATACTTGTTTTGGTGTCCTGGTTTGAGAAAGGGAAGTGTTAGGGGAACAAATCAATGTCTGTGCTCTTGGTTCCTTTGAGAATACAGTGTTTGGAGCCTGGGTGACTTCTTAGCCCTCCATCACTGCTCAGAGTGGGTCAGAACTGACCCTTCTCTGGGCTCCATGTTGTAGCAGGGCTAGGAGGAAGGGTCCCTGGCTTGCCTTGGCTTCCACAGAGCAGCAAATCAGCTCTGCTGCCTGCTTTGGTGCCAGCTGTGATGGGGAAGACTTGAAAGCAGAAGTTGAAAGTTTGTGACCCCAGCTTCTGCTCTGTCCTGCCCCCTGGCCAGGTGGGCCTCAGTGGACAACTAGCAGCAGTGATTGCCTGTACCTGAGCAGTCTGGGGGCTTGTGTGTGGCAGTCTGAGCTGTAGTGGTGCCTACCCACAGCAGTTAGTCTGGTACACACAGCCTCTGTGCTGCAGCCAACACTGCCTGCTCTTACAGTGCTACAGCAGGATAGTTATTTTTGCAGTGAGGTTAGTATTGAATTTAGGAGCCAAATGCTCCTGGGGGTGAGGGGCAGGGGCCAGTAATACACAGAAACAGCTGTAATCACCCTCAAAGGCCAGAAAGGGGCTGGCAATGGGAAAATGGCCTGATGCAAAACAAAAGGTTAGTTTACATTGCCACAGCCAGGTTGGGCATCAGACAAGAGACTCCCAACACACCATCAAGCCCATGCCTGGCCCTTGGTCATATATTCCTCCAGCAGCCCTGATGTCTGTCCTCCCCTCTGCAGGAGGGGAAGCCCTGGTGCCAAGCTGAGGCTGCATGCAAGCAGGAAGGCTCAGCTGACATTTGGTAGAGCTTGACTCTCCCACACTTGGAAAATGCATTTTGTCCAGGCTCAGCTGTGCTGGTGCAAGCTGCAGGGAGCATGTTTGAGCCTTTACCTGAGCAGGAGCCAGCAGGGCCACAGCTGGTGGAGCTGTGGTATCAGAGGTTGCAGGGCTGCACCAGACCCATCCAGCCTGTCTGTCAGCTGCACCAGCACAGCCAGGGACACAGCACACCTGATTAGCACCTTGGCCTGTGCAAAGCAGCTCAAAGCTGGACGCCCATGCCTCCCCTCAGCCTGTGACCAGCAGAAGATGGCTTATTATCAACTGTTTTCACTTTCCTCTTCACATAGCACCATGCTGTACCTGACACAAGGCCCCTGCTCTGCTTCCTGAGCTCTAAGCTAAATATGGGCAGTGCTGTACCCCACACCCACCACAGCAGCCCCCCACCTGTTGGTGAGATGGGGGAACAGTCCCAAAAACCAGCTTGCAACAGCTGAGTCCAGCACCCTCCCCAGGGGGCTGTTGATGCACTCCCCCTTTGGCCACCTGGGGAAGAGCAGGGGAGGACAAGGCAGCTCTCCTGCCTCTTCAGAAGCAAATCCTAGGGCAGCAGCTGGATCTAATGGGGAAGGGGGCAGGAACCCACATGCAAGGTTTGGTTCTTCCCCAGAGCTGTGCTGCTGTTGCAGGAGGCCTGCCCTACACCCCTGATGCTTAGTGCTGGGAAGGTAGCACAGACTTGCTCAGTGGCCCCAGAGCAGATTAAGGCTTCCAGCAGGTCCTGACCCTGGAAGGAAGGCTTTACATGCCTGAAAGCTGGTGTAGTTTCTTCACTCCCAGGTAATGGCAGTTTATCTTTCTCAGACAGAGCCTGTCTTGCCTCTCTCCTTAGCACATACCCACCCCCAGAAGCAGTGTGTTACACACCCCTTGAAAGTCCTCTGAGCATTACTGGAAGGTGATGATACTGCACCGTCTTCCTTCAGCCTCATACTGGCCCTACTGTCCTGGAGAGAGGAGGAGGAAAGGAAGGAGCTGGGCACTGACCCAGCAGGCCCAGGAAACACTGCCATATAAGGTACGAATTCAGTTTGGAGCAGCAGCCCAGACTGACCCTGACAGCATATAAATTACCAGCCCATGGAAAGATCACCGCTAACAAGAACAATTGGAGGAAGGGAGAGCAGAGCACACACAGGGATTTTAAAATGCCAAGTGTAAGTAGTTTAAAGTATTGTTACTATTTTGGGCAAAAGCAAAGACAGTCCTGTCTTTACCAAGAGCCAGCTGGGAGAAGGAAGCTAGATGGGAAAACCTTCATCTCAGCTGGACTGTCACGTACAGCAGTGACTTTGAGCACTGAACTGTTACACACCACTTCAGCAGGGACTAGAACAAGTTCTCCTGCCAGTCCTTGCCCACAGAGAATTGGGAATGACTGAGAACACTGCATGGTACAGCAGCCAGATCCCATTTTAAGGCTGAGCCCTGTAAAACACAGTGATGTCCACATGCAGTTAGGTACATTGGTCACACCAGTTCAGCTCACTTGAAGAGGTTTTCCTACATTTCAGAGCATGGTCTCAAAGCATACAGCAGCTCAATCAGGGGCAGCAGAGCTTTCCCTCACACCCAACCCTGCTCTAGGGCTTTGGCTGGACACCCACTAAAGCCCTCCTGCACCCCAACCAAACTGACAGCAAAACTCGGCTTCTGGAGGCCTGCTGGTCTAACACACTCCTCCCAGCGCCAAGCAGCCCAGCCACCTACCCACCCCATGTCCCAGGCTCAGGAGGGCCCCAGTCACAAGGCGATGGGGACAGCAGCACTGCACTGCAACAGCGCTGGAGGGAAGCCAGACTGGCTCAGGTGGCAGAGAGAGGCAGAGATGGCAGAGCCCAGCCAGGAAGATGCCCTGCTCTGGCAGGACCAAGGCAGCAGCAACACAAACCTCCCTCTGACCAGCCTCATTCATGTTCTGCATAGATCCACACTGCAGGGGCATTCACAGATGGCAGCAGCTTTGGCTTCAGTAGATGCAGAAAGCAAGAGCCTGCTCTTTCCCCATCACCTGGGTTTCCAGGGTCTCTATTCCCTGCTCTGCCACACCTCAGCTCCCCAGGATTTCTGAAAAGCAGCAGCTCCCCCTGGGCAGCTGGCCCAGGTCCCAGCCCACACCCACGCTCCACCCCAGCCATTCTTTCACAGGGTGGAACCACTTTCACAAGAGGAGCCTTGACACATTTCCTGCCCTGAGCACTGCTCTACCAAAGCTCTTGGAAACAATCTGCCATCTGCTTCATCAGCACACTGCTATCACTCTCTCCCCCCAAAACACAAACCTGCTATGCCTGCTGCTTCTCCCAGCCCTACCTCCAGCCACACTGGGCAGGACCACACACCTGGAACAGCTTCTGAGCACAGCAACCCAGGAAAAAAAAAAAACAAAACCACAAGGGCACAGCCATTTCTCCTTCTGTTTATTCGTGATAGAAGAGCAGCCCAATCTGACAGGGCCTGGCTCCTTCACCTCATCCTCAAGGCCACCAGCATGATTTTGGTAACAGCCAGAGCAGGTGATGGGCACCAGGCCCAGGAGAGCTGCTGCACCACCCTGCTATAGGGCAGAGTACACCTTCACCCAGGCAAGAGGTGCTCACTATTACACCACAGCAGGGCACACTACAACAATCCTCCACTGTGCTCATGCTGGGCCAGAGAAGGGCTAGTCCCAAGCAGAATTGCTCAGGAGCTGATTCTAGGGGCAATTATTGCTCAAGTCCTGTGTTTGCAGGAATGGAAGTGGTCCAAGGCAAGGCTGAGCTTGGCCTCCCCCACTCTGGAGCAAGCCACCAGCTGCCATACAGGATCAGGTAAGTGTGGCTAAAGCACACACTGAGCACCCAGCCCAGGCACAGAAAGGCAAGGCAACCTGGGTTTATTGTGTGAGGGAGGCATTTCAGGCTGTCACAACCCCTGCTATGTACAAGGCACAGGGCATGTATACTGTACTGGGCAGGTCTGGGCCCTCAAGTCCCATACACACTGCCCCTACATTCTCCACAGCCACACCTGAGCACAGATACACCAGGGCAGGACCCCCACCTGGGCACACAGGGACCTGAAGGGACATGCAGCATTGTGGCATGGAACAAGGTGGCACAAGGCATGGTAGAGCAGGAACACTCACACTTGAGCTGGCAGCAGCAAGCAACCAGGGACAAGTCTGCTCATCCACACAGGCTCTGATGAGACAGGGACAAGGAGAGGGCACCAGGACAGGGACTGGTCTCTTCTTTTGGTCCTACTCAGAAGGAAATGGCCCCCAGGCAGAAGGGCCAGATGTAGGCACTTGGGGGAAGTTCCTTTGGAAACACTGGAATGGGACTGCAGCCCCACAGCTGTGATGCAGGCAGCTGCCTCTCTGCTCAGCAACACTGAGAAACAGCACAAGCCCTCCCAGGAGGGGGAGAAGTTGCCCATGGCTGCTCAGAGCAGAGGGGCTGGGCATGCAGACAGAGAACCGCAGGGCTGGGCACAGGGGTACAACAGTCTGTAGGCACTTGACTTGGCTAGTGGCACCCAGGAGCAGGGGAACAGGTCCCAGCTGCCTCTGCCCCGGGGCTCTCATTGGCTCTGGGAGGGCCTTGCCCTCTAGTTGGCTTTGACCTTGCCATTGGTGACAGTGCCATTCTCATGGATGCTGCTACCATTGTGCTGGGCTGCTTGCTGAGCCACTCTGGGCAACCGTTTGCCCTTGGTGTAGGACTGGTACCAGAAGTTGGAGAAGAGGATGAAGAAGATGGTCCCATAAATCCAGATGAGGTGGATGAAGATGGGGAACTGGTACTGGCAGCTGGGCATGAAGTAATACTGGGAGATGTGGATGGAGACAATCACGAACTGTGCCTGGGAGCAAGGCAGAGCAGGGACAAGTTGTTAATGGGAGCAGACTCAGGGATGCCACTAGACCTTCTTTCTAAATGAAACCAATAGGCTCCTTTTCCACTCTGCAGTAGAGATCCTTACAGTGAGGCAGCAGCATGTGCCTCACCCTCCCAACATGGCTGCAGCCCAGGGATAGCAGGCTGAGCAGCACCCCATGCCCTAACCAGGCTGGTAGGGCTAGAGGCCCACAGTGGGCCAGAGCTGCTAGAAACCCAGAGTCAGAGGCTACAGAAGAGACAACTACAGCTGCTGGCTGCATCTTTCATAGGTACAAGGGCTGGCCTGCTCACAGCAGAGGCTGAGGGCACATGCTCTGCTCCACAGCAGACTCACCAGCTGGATGGCAGTGATGTGCTTTTTCCACCATAGGTACTTCTGAAAGGCAGGTCCTGCTGCTGAGAGCCCGTAGTAGAAGTACATGACAACATGCACCATGGAATTGATCATGGCATGGAATGAGCCCATTCCCCCTGTTAAGACAGATTATCATTAGTGTAAGTCAATCCTCCACAGCAATTAGCACTACAAGGAGCAACTAGGAGCCCAGCAGATCCAAAAACCCCTTTTCAGCATGCCTGGGGCTAACCCCCCACCCCTTCCCCAAGCTATTCAGTTTCCATCTTACCTGGACCAAACTTTGCTCCCCACCACCAGCTCCAAGGCAGAACAGAGTGGTGGAAGAGGTGCAGGAATGTGACCTGTTCATTCTTCTTTCGCAGGACAAAGATCACCTGCAATGAAAGCCCAACAGCATCAAGGACCTGCAGCCCTAGCAGCAGCTTGAACAAGCTGGGCCACTAATTCAGTGTCTGATCTCAGTGACACTTCCCCCCACCACCACCTCCAAGCTCACTGCCACCACATGTTAAGTCACCCCACAGCTTCCAGAGCTACAACATGCCAAGAGTTACCTCTGCAATGGCCCAGAGTAGCCTCCTTGGCAGTGATGCCAGACAGACGCACAGCCAGATCAGACAGGGAGGGCTGAAGAAAGCACCTACCCCAAGTACACTGGGCCCCAACTCCCTACCCAGCAAGCAGTGACAAGGCCTCCTCAGTAACTCACCGTGTCTGTCAGTTCAATGAACTTGGAGAAGACAAAGAGCCAAGCAACACTGACCATCTGTAACAGAACAGGTTAACATTAGAGACCCACCTCAGCCTAAACATGCCTAGTGACCAAGGGTCTCCATACAGTAACTGTGGTGTGAAGCCAAGAGCTAGGGACAGTAAGCCCTCTGCCTCAGG